GATAAAATTCTAAACTGTTGTATAAATAATATTTGTTTATATATATATATATATATATATATATATATATATATATATTAAAGTTACTTTTAATTAAATTGTTGGTGGTTATTTATTGGATTTACCAAGAAAAAATCTAAAAAAATATCTGAATTTCTCAATTTTCTTAAAATAAAACCTGAATTTTATTTGTTATCAAATGAAAATCTAATTTTATTTTTCAATAAAAATTAATTTCGAATTTTATAATCGTTATCATTTTTAAACATTAATGATGAAGTGGAATATGACAAATCAATATTTTTTTATCATATTTAACACATTATTATCTAAATACCACGATATTTTTATAACATTTTAAAAATGGCTATTATTATAAATTTTCGATTTATTTGTAATTTTAAAAAATAAATTGAGATTTTATTTTAAAAAATAAATTTTATATTTTATTTTGTAAAAATTGACATGATATTTTCCCAAAAATCATTGTTGAACCGTCGTATCCGCCATATCCGCATACCCGACCCGATTTGTCATTGTTGTCCCTCTTCTTCTCCATCTTACCCTCTCCTCCGAATTTCCCTTCTCTCCTCTCCTCCTCGCCGGCGCCGGAAATCACCACCGCCGGTTAGAATTTTTCTTCTAATTCTTCGTCATCTTTTCGTATCACGGGAGGCGTTGCACGGATTGTTAACCATGGATACCGATCCTCGACAATTAGACCACATCGTAAGTTTGTTTTTCTCCTCCTTTGTTTGAGATGCTCATTCATTCTTATGGGTCCTATGAAATTGGAACCATGGTCCTGATTTTGGTGATCCAGTCGCATTAATTCGGTTTGCACTGTGCAATAGAGGTATAGCCCTAGGGTTTGTGTTCGGCCTCTGCGATATGTCATGATTTTGAAAAAGATATGTAGTTTCGTTCGTAGATGTTTTGAAGCGACATTGTTGGTTGTTGCTCGCTTGCCCTTTGGTTGATAAGCGATTTACATTGAGATTCTTGTCTGTTTGCTTCTTTCCGTTTCCTTTCATCGCAGAGTGTATTAGTTAACTTGGTATAGCTTTGGAAGATAATGGTTTGATGTACACATAGATCACGCTTCGCTGTTGAAAATGTTTTGTTCCTTTGTAATACGAAAAGATTTCACATTCTGTAAGAAAACCCTAGTTTGTATGATGATGGTGGTGGTGGTGGTGGTGGTGATGATGATGATGATGATATCCCTGTGGCTGTGATATTGTCCAGAAGTTGTGGCCGTAAACTGTATGTAAAGGATTCTTCATGAGTGAGTATGGTGTACATGTTGAAGCGATCGCCAGAGTTTTTTATTACTTGAGGATGTGTTATATGTGATGCCTTTGGATATGGACATATTTGCTTCACAAGTTTTTCATACTGACGACTTTTCTTGTCAATAGAAGTCATTAACTTGTCAATAGTCTGGAGATTTGGTCATACACTTTCTATCTCGCTGGTATTACGTTGTTGATTGATTCCATTTCTTTTCTTTATAGTTTATATGAAATTTTATGTGTTCTAAACTCTGTTTTCGAAGCCTAAGTATTTCTCGGTGTTAGCAGGTAGTCCATGACAGTGACATTCACAACATTGTTCTATCATATCTTGTGCATAATTGCTTCAATGAGACCGCGGACTCGCTCGTTTCTTCTACTGGATTAAAGCAACCTGAAAATTATCTTGAGGGTATGGACAGGAGAAAACGTAAGTGTAATTGCTCCTATACATTGAAAATGGAAAATTTCGTTTGTGGTAAAACTTTCACCGTTGATCTGCTGCTAGATGATGATAATAGAACACTCAGTCGTCCCATTTGTTTTGCTGGGCTGCTTTATATTCAGGAATAATAAAGTTTACACTGGAAGGTAAGGCATTGAAGGCTGTTGAACTTACTGAGCACTTAGCAGAAGGCATGCTTGAAAAAAACAAGGAACTGCACTTTGATCTTTTGAGCCTTCATTTTGTCGAGCTACTCTGTGCTAGAAACTGGTGAGTTAGAAGATTGATATCCATGGGAACGTTGCATTTCCTTAGTGTCTTCTGATCTTAAACCTTATATCTGTTTGTGCAGCACAGAAGCCCTTCAATTCGCTCGGACAAGATTGGCTCCTTTCGGGAAGGACCAAAAATATGTTGAAAAGCTCGAAGTGGGTTTTGATTCTTGTTTGGCGTACTAAATCCATCTCGGTTTTTTCGCATGTTACGTCTACGGTTGCTTAAATTTCCTGTCTCAGGACCGTAAACCCTAGTTTGTTGCCCGGATGCAGGATGTCATGGCCTTACTGGCTTATGAAGACCCGGAAAAGTCCCCGATGTTTCACCTTCTCAGCTTTGAGCACAGACAGCGTGTTGCTGACAATCTGAACCGTGCAATTCTCGGTCAGTTCCTCTTTCCTTGAACAATATTTCTCTTGCTTCTTCCATGCCGCTGCCTATCTATTTCACAAGCTTTCACCCGTTTTCTTTCTTCATTGCGCCAGAGCATGCGAATCTTCCAAGCTACACACCAATGGAAAGGGTAATACAACAAGTGACAGTTGTGAGGCAGTACTTGAAGCAAGAGAGCGGAAAAGTAATCCTCGGGCTTTCGTTATCTATTTTTCTACCTACTCGTCTCTAAATGCTTCGTTACCGAATCATCGATTTGACGGAACGCCGGAAAACTCTGGTTTCAGGACGGGTTTCCGCCCTTTTCCTTGAAGGATTTCCTCCAAAGCTGAAAACACAGAGGCTGCAACGGTTGGCTATAGATCTCATCAGTTCATCTCCATTGAAAATCCGCAAAAAAGAAGCTCAGAAGTTGGTCCCCTTTTGGAAAAAGGTTCGTTTGGGGACTTGATCCCTCTACTTGAATTGGTTTATGCTTTCACGAATACGTTTTGTAAATTTTGCTCTTTTGTTATTTTTATGTGTAATTCAAGAAACTCGAGCTTCTTTTGTGGCACCATGAAAAGGTTTCTTTAGTATTTTTTACTTGTCGGATTCATACGTATGATTATGTGAACATATGACTTCTTGTTTTGTCCTGTTTTTTTTTCCTTGGGGCTGGTTGGAACTGGTGGAATAATTAATGTTATTAGACTAGTCAAAGTCATGACTCATATCTATATATATATATATATATTGTTTCTTTAAAAAATTTAAATAAAAAAAAAAAAGAAAATCCAAAAAACACACACTAAATTTCTCAAATTTAATTAAAAAAATAATAAACTTTTTTCTTTTCAAATAAACATTAAATTTTATAAATAAATTTAAAAATACATCAAACTTTTCAAGTATAAAAAAAATATTAATTTTTTTAAATAATTAAAAAAATATATAAACTATCTGCTATTATAAAAAAAATATATAATTAGAATAATCTTATATGTTTACATTGTCAACTCATTTTATTTATTTTAAAAATCGCTGTTATGTAATTTTTTTTATCAAAATTAAAAAATTTAATGTTTATTTAATAAAATAAAAAATTTAGTATTTTTTTAAGTTAATTGTTTTTTTACAATTTTCACAATAAAAAATGTAAAAGACATTTTTAGAATCTTTATTGCTTAAATATTAAAATCCGAAATTTGCGATATTTAATATTATGTTTATTTGTATTATAATTGTAAAATTAATTTATCTATCATAATTAAGTGGAAAAGTTGTCTCTCTCTTTGCACAAAAAGCTCAATAATGGCTCATCATGGTCCTTCGTTCTCCTTCTTCTGCAATCTCTCTCTCTCTCTCTCTCTCTCATGGAGTCAACAGAGAAGAAAATCTCGCTGGAGCTTCTTCCATGGTTGGTAGTCCATGAAGACGGAACAATAAAGAGAATCGCCGGAACCGAGACTTGCCCGCCCGGGTTTGACCCGGAAACCCGGGTTCTATCCAAAGACATAACCATGGAACCCGAAACCGGGCTATCGGGTCGTATCTACAGGTCCGATCCGGTTCTACCGGGTGGTAAACTTCCTCTGGTGCTCTACTTCCATGGCGGCGGGTTCGTCGTCGCCTCCGCTGCATTCCCCAACTACCACAAGAGTCTCAACAAGCTCGTCGCCGAGGGTAATATCATCGCCGTCTCCGTTAACTACAGGTAATCCGGTTTAATTTTGAAATTCTTTAACCGGCCCGGTTATCTGTTAAATTCGTGCTGTGCGTGTGCGTGTGCGTGTGTGTAATTCGCTAGATTGACCGCCCTTGAATTGACTCCATATAATATTTTGAAGTTGATGTATCATTATTCTTTTTTATCATATGATAAATCGGAATTATGATTTGGTTAGGCCTTAATAAAAAAATGAATTATGTATACTGAGAGTTTTTAATCGGTTAATTTAGTTTTTTGTTACGAAAGAAAATCAAAAATGTTTTTTATTCTGTAATCATGTTCGCGTGTGTTTATTAAATAATTTCACTAGATTTACCGCCTATACCATATAATATTTTTAAAGTTGTTGTATCATTGTTCCTTTTTTTTATAATCATATGATAAATTTGAGTTATGATTCGGTTCATTTTTTTATTTATATTAAATTATGCCTCTTCAACACTTTGATTTTAACAAATAAAAAGTCTAGTGAATTTTGTTTTCACAAATTCAATGTTTCAATAAAAAAATGGTGGGTTTATTAAGTTTGATTAGTTAATTAACTCAAATTAAAACGGAACTGATTTGGAGTTATGCATGACAACCATCATCACGTATTAACGGAATAGACGGCGATGATGATGATGATGATGATGTCAGGTTAGCGCCGGAGCATCCACTCCCGGCGGCGTACGAAGACTCATGGACCACGCTACAGTGGATCCGATCCCACATGACCCGACTCGGATCTGAACCCGCGCCCGGAACCGAGTCGTGGATCAGCGAGTTCGCAGATCTCGACCGATTATTCCTCGTCGGAGACAGCGCCGGAGCCAACATCTCTCACCACCTAGCAATCCGGCTCAAACGATCCGACCAGGACCCGAATCTGAAGATCCGGGGGATCGGGATGATCCACCCGTATTTCTGGGGATCGGAGCCGATCTTGTCAGAGGTGGACGATCCAGAGCGGAAAGCGATGGTGGATTCGTGGTGGAGATTCGTCGGCCGATCGGAGAGAGGTTGCGACGATCCGTGGATAAACCCGTTCGGAAACGGCTCGGCGGAGGTGGAGGATCTGGGATGCGAGAGAGTGATGATCTGTGTGGCGGAGAAGGACGTGCTGAGGGAAA